GTCTAAGGCGGGGGTAACCATCAGAGCGTTTGGAAAGGGGTCCAGGGCCATGAACAAAAAGATCCGCCAAGGGCAATATCGTCTCGTGCTTCGCGGCCCTTCTCCTGGCGCTCCTGAAGTCCCCATCAAGGCCACGCAGTCTGCTAAATATCTGGGCTCCATGATATCGATCTTGGGTAGTGATGTGGTCGAGGTCGAGGCTCGGATTAAGAAAGCTCGTGTGGCTCATCATAGGCTAACTACCCGTCTATGGCGCTCTAAGGTGTTGCCCCTCAAGTTGAAAGCTCGTCTGTGGGTGGCTCTGGTCCGCTCTATTCTTTTGTGCGCCGTGGAGGTCCGCCGAATCAGCCCAGGAGGTCTAAAGAAAGTGGAACGCTTTCAGATTCGATGTCTTCGGCATATCGCTCGGCTTCCCGCACATTTATCGAGAGTTTCGTCAAATCACCTGCGTGAGCGTTGCGGTGTTCATAGTGTTGAATCTACTCTATGTGTTCGCCGTTGTCTCTGGATGCAGAAGGTTGTTGCCCCAGTCTTTCACGATGATGAGGGCTATCCGCTCTTTGGCACTCGTGAGGATGACCCTGCTGTTGCCGTGCGTGCTGCTGTTTTCGGGTCGTTCGAGTTTGAGGGCGAGCGGGAGGATTCCACCCCCCGACTGAGAAGGCTGCATGAAGACCTGCTGGCAGTGCTCGAGGGGGCCAAGGTTGAAGCCCGAAATCGCGCTGTATCTCTGGGAGTGGATCGTGAGGCAGGGGCTTTGTCAAAACCGCGGCTCGAGTGGCTTGCCCGTGAGCCGGGTTCCACCTTTCTGGCCCATCTGTCCTTCCGTGCGGCGCCGACTGGACGCGGACGAGGGCGGCCGCCGTCGCGTGCAGGAGCTCCAGTTGATGGAGGTGATGGCCACACCGACGATCCAGCTCGACGTGGAGCGCGCGATCCAGAGCAGGGCCCAATACTTTGTGCTCGTGGGCAAGGCAGACAGCGAGCTCTTGCTGGAGATGGGCTGGACCATCGAGCAGTACGACAAGTCGGGCGTGGTCGCGCGCCAGGACGCAAAGGACAAGGGCGAGGAGCTCATGGGGAATCCGTTCGGCTTGAAGCCAGAGTTGTGTAAAGCTATCCTGGAGAAGATCAAGGAGCGGGTGCAGAAGCAGGAGCTCGCGGACAAAGCTCCAACAGCGGCCTCAGCCCCCTTGGACCAGTTCTTGGTGTTCGGCAAGCAGGCGCCAGCGTTGCCCCCGCAGTTGCGGGCATCGCGATGCCTCAAGACAGTGCACAACCAAAACGCCGAGGACGACCTCCAGGACGACGTGGCCATGACTAAAGGGATCTGTACCATTCCATTGGGCCGTGAGATCGAGTCGTTGTTATTGCAGTCTCGGCCCGTGGTGCAAAGCAGCTAAGAATGAGACGAAGATTGTATTCGGATTTGAAAGTGCTAAAGGGAGTGACAAAGGCAAAGGTGGTATCTTCTCGATGAAATCGTGAGTGTGAGGCGAGCGGGGTCCGAGCTAGCCGCAGAGGTGGCGCGCTCGGCCTCGCTCTCGATTGTGCCGTGCGGCCTCAGCGCTGCACGCGTCGAGGCAGGATCCTGCCTTGATGATGGCTACGCCTAGCACGCTGAAGCCTCCTGGACGGGCAAGCGGGGTGCAATATATATATATATATATATATATATATATATGGCAAAGGCGCGCACGGCCAAACAAACGCGACAAATGGGGAGAGGGATTCATGACGGGGTGGGAGGAGGGACGCAGAGAGAGGGAGAGAGCGTAAAAGGGAGAGGACAGGCAAAGAGAGGGGGAGAGGGCAAGCTAGGTGCGCTCGCGTCATATCTGACGTCCTGCCCCTCCCTCCCATCCCTTACCATGGCGCTGATTTTCTCTATCCGCGGACGCGTGTCGTAGCGGACCTGTGGCTCCGCGCGCGCGTGCGTAGTGGGTGGTGGTGCACGTGCGTGGTGTGTGGTGGTGGTGTGGTGGTGGTGGTGGTATGGTGGTGGTGGTGGTGGTGGTGGTGGTGGTGGTGGTGGTGTGGTGGTGTGGTGGTGGTGGTGGTGCTGGTGGTGGTGGTGGTGGTACTGGTGCTGGTGCTGGTGGTGGTGTGGTGGTGGTGGTGGTGTGGTGGTGATGGTGGTGGTGGTGGTGCTGGTGGTGGTGGTGGTGCTGGTGGTGGTGGTGTTGGTACTGGTGCTGGTGCTGGTGGTGGTTGTGGTGGTGGTGGTGGTGGTGGTGGCGGTGCGGCGCGGTGGTGGCGGGCGGATGGGCGCGCGAGAAAGAGGCCCGCGCTGGGGCGAGAACGCCATCCTGAACGACGGAGGCCAAACACCGATCCGAAAATGAGGCCCACGCTGCAGCGGGAGCACGATTCGGAACGATTCGGGAGCAGAAATGAGGCCGGCGCCTCAACGAGAGCAGCACTTTGGGAAAAAATGACGCCGGCGCCTCAGCGAGAGTCGTTTCCCGGGATCTTCCGGGCATCCTGTGCAAAAAAAACAGTACGCGGAGGGTGCGCGGCTATCACCCGGACGCCATCAGGGGAAGGGTTCGGGAGCAGAAATGAGGCCGGCGCCTCAACGAGAGCAGCATTTTGGGAAAAAATGACGCCGGCGCGAGAGCAGCATTTTGGGACAAAAATGACGCCGGCGCCTCTGCGAGAGTCGTTTCCCGGGATCTTCCGGGCATCCTGTGTAAAAAAAACAGTACGCGGAGGGTGCGCGGCTATCACCCGGACGCCATCAGGGGAAGAGGGAGAGTATATTCATATTGAGTAATTGTAGAGAACACGAGAGAGAGATAGGGACGGGAGAAGGACATGGAGGGCGAGAGGGAAGAGAGGCAAAGAGAGGGTCAGAGGGATACAGCACGAGAAGACGAGAGAGGGAGCCGGCATACAGGGGGCGACCGAGGATGCGATCTAGATGATTGTCAAAAGGCGGTCCAGAAGTTCTTTGGAGTGTCCTGGAGCAGTGAGGCGGAGAAGGGATGTTGGAGCAGGAAGGCCCCCTTTCCCGATTTTTTTTCTTTGACATTTCCCTTCCCCCGACCCGTTCACCTCGCCCACCCACCTGATCATCGTCATCGTTCTCCTCCCGCTGCTCCTCAGTCCGTGTCCCGTATTCATCCTCCACTCTTTTGTTCCTCTTCCTTCCTTCCGCCAGCTCCTCCCTGTCTCCATATTTTTATCTTCCTCCGTTCTGCCTCTTTGTGCATTGCACCGCTGCCAAGCTACGATTCGCGATCTTCGGCAGGGTTCAGTTTGCCCTCACCTAACTCGGCATTCATCAACCCATTCATCTTCGGAGCCAGGCGTCACGTTGAACCGCTGCTGCCGCTGGTGTAGACAGATAAGCACTCGCATTCCAGTCTTGCCTGGAGACTTGCATTTGCTTCCAATGTTCCCAAGCGCACACACACACACATACATACCCAACACGCGCGCACGCACGCACGCACGCACGCACGCACGCACGCACGCACGCACGCACGCACGCACGCACGCACGCACGCACACACACACGCACACACACACACACACACACACACGCACACACATGCACGCACGCACGCACGCACGCGCGCACACAAACACACACACACAACACTTCCAGCGGCGAGTTGACGACCCCGTCGCGATTCGCTCAGCTCGGTCACGCTTCGGCAAATTACCACTTGGCGTAACCGATGGATGAATTGGGTCGGGGCATTCACACGCACGCAAGCACAAACACTCACAGTCACAGGCACGCACGCACACAACCAACACACGCCAACGCGCGCGCACACACGCACTCGAACACGCAAACGCAAACACACACACACACACGCACACGTACACGAGCGCGCACACATGCACAGGCACACGCACGCGCACACGCACGCACACACAAACACACACGCACATTCACAAACCACAAGCACACACACGCACACACAAGCACACACACACATACACACACACACATACACATACACACATACACACAACGCGCACGCAACAGGAGCAATGAACGTGGTCGCGGGGAAGGGATGGCGTGAGCGTCGTCCTCGGAATCGGGGATGGGCCTCGTCCTTAGAACTGTGGCCCTCCCGGGGCCAGTCGGGGCTCTGTTGGGCTCGACTGGGGAGTCCCTGTCCGGCTTCCTCGGATCTGAGCACACAGCTTAGGTTTGATCCGTTGGCCTCTCGATAGTCATCTATGGGGTTACGACGCCGTCGTGGAGACGACCTGGGGCGGCCCAGGGCCACCGTGGCGGCCACATGTGCTCATCCTCGGCCGCACTGGGCGTTCTCGGAGACCCCATTGGAGGAATCAAGGCCCGAGTGCCAGTCGGGGGTCCTGCGGGGCCCAGGGAGTGCGGTGGCCAGCTCTGGACGCATCCCCCCTTCGATGCTTGAATGCGGACCTCCCCGGGGAGCAGGAGGAGGAGGAGGAGGAGGAGGAGGAGGAGGAGGAGGAGGAGGAGGAGGGGGAGGAGGAGGAGGAGGAGGAGAAGGATATGGACAGGGACTGGATCCCAGACGCGTCAGCATCTTAGCCAACCCCCGCTCTACTCCCAAGAGATGCTGAAGAACATTTTGAACGATGGCTGCGTTGTTGTGGGCCCGCGGGAGGGCCGGGCAAAGACCAAGCTTGAGGGGTGTCCATCTTCTAGGGCGTGTATGTAGTAAAACATGGGCTCATGCACGTGGTGCCCTTGAGTCCTTCTGAACCCCTGGTGGCTAGTCTCGTGTGCGGTGAGTCGAGTGTGTCTTTCGCTTGTCGCGTCCGCTTTTCCACCCCACGTCTCTTTCCTCATCTTCCTCCTCCCCCTCCTCATCTCTCCACTCTCACCTCTCTTCCTTCTCTCGTGATGCGGGGCGTTCTGCGACGCCTGCCCTTTCGGATTCAGCGTTCGTTGGCTGCTGGGTCGCCGATGGGAGCCAGCTTCAGAAGGATGCCAGGATCCCATAGCCAGCGCCCGTGCCGCCCCGAGATGCAGATGGCATGGAGGGGAGGACCTCAGCTCGAAGGCGAAGGCAAGCATGTGCCCAGGATGCCGATTTGGCTGTTTTGCGGGCTTGCCAGTCTGGCGTTCAGGCTCTGCTCGTCAGCCGTACGGTTGAGTCGGGCATGTCCCTCTACAGGAGGAGTATTCAGACATAATCGAGCAACATATAGAGGACGATGTGTGTTTACTATGTTCACCATACGTGCGTAAGTGTTGAGTACTCTTATTGTTCGTCCAAAACCCCCCCTGCAGGAGGACACGCCCGACAGTACGGGGCGAGCAGGCGACACGCCATTGATGCGTACAGCGAGCGGCTTGAATAAGGAACACTTCCTTTTCAAAAGGGGCTCGGTCGTTCCTTAGGCTTGCATGCGTTATTTATCGTTCCCGATGTGTTATTCATTATTTGTTCATCGGTCCCTATGCGTTATTCCTTGCAAGAAAGGGGCTTCGTTCCTTATTTATCGTTCCTTAGGTCAGGCCGATGAATGTATCATCTGGTGTAGCCACGTTGCCCTTGGATCGGGGCTGTATGTCTAGAGCTGCGCCGCGCGGGGTTACTAGGCCTGCACGCCACCGACGTACACGGGGGGGGCATGCGAAGAACCACCCTCCTTGCCTCCAGGGTGCCCTGAGGGTCTCGGGTTTCGATTGCACACGCCCCTCGGACCGGGGCCACATCTCCATGTGCTGCGGGCACGGCGCGTGCTCGTTCTCGCCGAGGCTGCTCCGTCCATGCTCTCGGGCGTGTGAGACAGGGCCTGCTGCGAAATCGGATTCGCGCTGGCTCGTCCAGTCAGCTCGACCATGGGCACACGGGATTGAAGCAGGCACGAGAGGGGACGCAGGAGGAGGAGGAGGAGGAGGCGGAGGCGGAGGCGGAGCAACGCGGGCAGGACGGCAGATTGGGGGGAGGAGGAGGCACGGACGGACGGAGGAGTGAAAAGGAAGGGGCGCGGGAGGAGGGACCCGAGGAGGGGGAAGGAAGGAGGGAGGGGCTTTGCGGAGCGAGGGGGAGCCGGGAATGAGGAAGGAGTCGCAGCGCGGAGGGTGAACGGGGCGAGCGCAGAGGGATTAGGAGGGAGGAGTGCGGAAGGGGGGGGGGAGAGATGACGCAGGAGCAGGAGAAGGGAGGAGAAAGGGGGGGGAGGAGCACCGCGCGCGGTCACACCCCGGAGACCCCCCCCGCCCACGGCCGAGCGGGCGGGGCAGGCCGTCTCAGGAGCGAGAGCGCGTGGGGCGGGGGGGAGGGCCGAGCGGGCGTTGGGGGGGAGGTGGGCGGAGGGGGAGGAGGGGGAGGAGGGGGGGGAGAGGGGGAGGAGGGGGAGGAGGGGAGGAGGGAGGAGGAGGAGGAGAGAAGGGGAGGGGGAGGAGGGGGAGGAGGGGGAGGATGGGGGAGGATGGGGATGGGGAGGCGGAGGGACGGGGGGGGCCGGGGCACGGCTGGGCTGCGGGAGGACGGGTGGGCGCAAGGAGTGCAGTTGCCAAGGTTTCCGCGCGGCTGCCTCCGCCTCGGGCGAGGGGGCACCAGAAGCAGCAGGGGCGACGGGGGCCGATGGAGTTGCGAACATGGAGGCGGAGGCGAGGTGCGAGGTGAATGGGCGGGGGGCGGGGGTCGAGGGCGGCTGCGGAAGCGAGGGGAGGGGCCAGCAGATTGTGTTTCTCCTCCTCCTCCTCCTCCTCCTCCTCCTCCTCCTCCTTCGCTTCCTCCTCCCCTTCCTCTCCGTGGCCATTTTGGCTCAAGGTTTTGGTTCCCCCTAGGAACAAAGTGGATACCGCTAGTCCGCGGCAGTGCCAGGGCGCTTGCGCTCGACAGCTTTTCTTTCAGCCAGTACCGCAGGGGCTCTCTGGCGGCCCAACGTACAGCAAAGACGTCGCCATGGCGCCAGCGCCGTGGACATGGAGTGGGAAGCAGCAGCAGGAGTCAAAGCAAGACTGGATGTGTAAGTTTTGCACGTTTCGTCGGACTGGGGCTCCTCTCATTAATTATGGGGTTAACGAGAAGTGCTACAAGTGCAAACTGCACAAGGGTGTGGCATTCAAGTGCGTCGCCCCCTCGGACCTCCCCAGCCGGAGCAAGCGCGAGGCCGACGGCACCTTCGATGCAACTGCTGCCTCGGTGGCCAAGTTGGAGAAGCGCCTGCAGCAGCTGGAGGCCGAGAGTGCCAAGCTGCGTGTGTCGGCTGACCCTGGCGGAGGCGACGCGGCAGTGGAGAACAATGAGTCGGAAGAGCTACGGGATGAGATCGACGGCCTCGGCAAGCACTTGCAGTGGTTGGAGTCGGTTCGCTCCCCGTGGGTGGTGTTACCGCTCAAGGCTGCTCGTGAGCAGCTGGAGGGAGCTCGTCGTAAACTGTATGAGAACAAGCCCTTGCCAGCGAAGCTCACAGCGTTAACGCGACGAGCTGAGCAGGCTCGCGTCCGCTACCAGAAGGCGGACCAGGACAAGGCGGCAGCGGACCAGAAGCTGCTCAAGGCGCAGGAGGAGGCCAAGGCAGCTGCGCTGGTGGTCATGGAGCGCCAGAAGGTCGGCATGCAGCTGGAGGAGGAAGCGCGCGCTCTCGCATCTTCGCAGCCAGCGGAAGAGCCAGGGCAGCATCAGTCGATGGACCTCACGGGCCCAGAGATCAAGCTGGACGAGGATAAGTTGCTTGCAGCGCTGGGCACGATGGAGGGAGTCGCCGACGCCAGCAAGTTGGCGCCGAGGCTGGCGGAGGTGCTCAAATCCAGTGCGGCCGAGGTACTGGAGGAGCCGCCTGACAACCGTGCCCGCGTGGCAGCGGGTGGTGGTCAACCAGCTGAGCCGCCCCCAGCAGCATGGAACATCGACACGATCGAGGTGGAGCAGCTGCGCGAGGATGTTGGCTCCTTGGCTGACGAAGGAGAGGACGAGGGGGAGCTTCGAGCCAAAGCTCGTCTGTTGGCAGCGGGGGGCTTCAAACCTAAGCGCCTACATAATCCGAACTATTGAGTGCCCCCTCGCGTCCTCCACGGATGCGGTCAAAGGGGGCGAAGTGTACGACAAGCGATTGAGACACGCAACCTACGGTGGCCTGCGCTTCCCCGATTACAGCTGCCTGCGCCTTTGCGAGTATCTGAATGGAGAAGAGGCATCAGAGGAAGTGGTGCTTTTGTCCTGCGGGGCAGCTTGCGGGGCAACACCCAGTTTCACCTGGCCCTGGCGAACTACATGAGCCCGTTCCTGTTCATGATGTGGAGCCGCTCGGTCAGAGTTCGACCTGCACAGCGCTTAGCAAGCTTCAGGTGGCTGGCGATAAGCAGCCAATCCAATCGTTCGGGGTGAGCACGGAGTTCACGGTGGTTTGCTACAATAGCAATTCCTGGGCCACGGCACAGAGTTTCATGGAGTGGTGCGTGCTGGACCAGATGCTGCAGGCGGACATCATCGCGCTGCAGGAGCTGCGCCTCGCAGCGGGTGAGCAGATCCGACGTGGTCAAGCCTGGGCTAGGGCTCGGGGCTGTAGGCTGGAGGTGTCACCGTGCACGATCACTGGCAGTTCAACCTTGTCGACGTCTAGCGGGGTAGGCCTGCGCGCGCGTGCTCGCATTCCTGTCGCCGAGTACTTGCCAGCATGTACACACCCAAAGAGCAGGCTAAAGTTTCAGCGCACTGTTTTAGGGGATATGCAGATCCTCTTCGTGTCGGTTTACGGGGAGGTGGGGGTGGGCCTCAAGGGTGACGTGGAGCTCCTGGGGGCTCTCATTGAGGCCGTTAGGGCTTATTGTCTGCCCTTCTGAATTGCGGGCGATTGGAACACCGAAGCTGACCTTTTTGGAACCGACAGTTTTCTGAGGCATGGTTTCTTGAACGTGTTGCACGCGGAGGTTGTGGGCGTTGAACAGCCCACGTGTAACGACAGCTGCATTGATTTTTTTGTAATGAGTGGTGTGCTTGTGCCCTTTGTCCGCAGCATAAGCCTTCGGCATGACACTCCCGTGGGGCCCCACAAAGCGGTTGTCCTCAGGACGCCGGGGGTTGGGGGCCACAATTGCATTCGCAGGCGAATCCAGCCCGAGGCGTTTCGGCTCCCAAAGAAAGGGGAGCATTCGTTCCAGGGGACATCTCGGGCTGGCCAGGCTTTGAAATTCTTGCAGGGGAATCCGTGGACAGTCTTGCGCGCAGGTGGTTCTCCTCTGCTGAGCTCTATCTGTGCATGTACACGGCGTTGCCTGAGTTTGAAAGGCCCCGTTATGCAGGTCGTGCTGCAGGTTGCTGCCCTGAAAAAGTGCCTTTGTCTTGCGCCCGGGGAACAAGTGTTAGAAGAAAGGCCAGTGCTCTAACTCAGAAGTGGCGCACGCTTCGCAGAGTGACAGCGCAGTGGCTCCGCGCGCAAGACTCCACGGCCCCAGACAAGGATGCAGCGATCCGCAGCGCTGTTGCACGCATGGAGGAGGTCGGTAACGTTTGGACGAGTTCGGGGGGGGAGGAGGCTTTGTCGACTCAGGAGTCTGGGTCACCAAGCTCGCATGCCGCCTTCCTTGCCCGCCTGCAGGATCCCGACTCTCGTGTTGATGTTTGTGACGCGCTGCAGCGTCGTGTGAAGCATCAAACTGGCAAGGATGCGTCGGCGGCGCGGCAGTCTTGGAAGGAGTTTTCAGAGCTCGCGTTCCAGAGAGGAGGGGGTCTTGCTCATAAGTATTCTCGGGGCCCTAAGGGCAATTCCCAACCAGCGCGTGCTGACTCGCTGCCCGTTGCGGGCCATGAGGCCTTGAAGGCCATGATGGGGGCTGGGGTCTCGCTTTGGAAAGCTTCCGCCCAGGGGCCTTGAGCCCCGCCCCCTCTCCTGGGATGTTTCAAACGCGGCCCCCCTTCCCGAGCTCGAGCCAGCAGCGGCACGTGCAGCCTGAGGGTCGTTTAGGCCCAACACTGGTCTGGGCTGGGATTCTTTTCACCCGGGGTGGATCGAGAAGTTGCCTGAGGCTCTAATAGCGGCGTTCATCCTGATTTTGCATCGGTGGGAAGCTGAGCCTGAGCCTAACTGACATGCGGCTCATTCTCATAGTCTTCCTCCCCAAACCTCAA